TCTATCGCTATCGCTATGTCTATCGCTATCGCTATTGCCTCGCATTGTGTTTAGGCCTTTACTGTGACCGGCGTAGGCGTACGTACATGCATACAAGGCGTCATCTACAATACACGGAGTAAGAAGTAAGAGTAAGAAATTGACCAATCACAGTCGAATGTGAGAAGAATAATCGACTGTGATTGGTCAATTTCTTACTCCGTGTATTGTAGACGGGCTATTATACATACCCCAGTGCGTACTGAATGCGTCTAATCGACTTCGCTGTTAGTTGTTTATGATTGAAACGTAAAATTTTCTTAATTATTTTTTGTATAACTAAAAAGTTAAATATGAATCTAACAAAGATTTTTGGTTTTTTGAGAGGCGCAAAATGTGCTCTCAATAGACGAATGCACTTGTCATTATACGGTAATGTAAATACACAAGCAAGATGTAAGAGCAGTGAAGTTAAACTGAGGAGGCCTACGGTTATTGAGACAAATAGATATCAAAAATTGGAGGAAAAGATTGGTCTATATGGATATTCCTTACTGGCAAGTAATGTTACCATCTACTATTCTAAAATTTTATTTATATTATAATAAAATATTTGTTTGAAGTATCCTCTCATTTTAAATTTTTATAAGATAATGTACTGACTTCGACGTGTTTCAACTTAAAACAAAAGAATCCAGCAAAAAAACGCGGTGGTTTTCCTCGTGAAACGAGTTATTAAGTGTTAAAGTTCGAGACTTTAGAGGTTAAGAGATCTGTCATACTTTGTCTCGATAGGGCGCTACGACCTAGCTAGTTTAAATCGTGCATTTAATGCTCGATTGGACCAATTATTTTGACTTTAAGCGAAGCTTAAAAATTTTTTTTTTAAGTCAATAGAGAGAATTAATGTTGGTGTAATCAGTTCTTAATACGAGTACTAAATGGTAATTTTCTATTGAATTATCTTAATTTCAGTGACACGCGTGTAAACATATACATAATTTGTGTGTTTAATTAATCATTTTAATGCATATTGTACCAGTTTAGTACAATATTCTTTAAATGTATTACTAAAATTAAGATAATTTAATGGAAAGTTACTAGTTAATACCCATATCAAGTGCTCGATATAAATAGTGTAAATTGTGGCGGTGTTTGAAAATTTACTGACCATGTTTACATCAAACTCTTAATACATGTACTAATCATTAACTTTCTATTAAATCTTAATTTTGTAGGTGCCTGTAAACATACACGATATGACTATTTAATTAATCATCTATGGATGCATATTATACCAGTTTAGTACAGCATTTTTTAAATGCATTGCTGAAATTAAGATAATTTAATAGAAAGTTACTTGTTAGTATGTATATCAAGTGCTCTGTGTAAACTAGGACACTGTCAGTATTGAAAATCTATAGTTTATGTTATATACATTATAGCTTTTCAGTACATGCAAATTTTGAAACACAGCCTGTGTAAAAAGAGATCTAGGACGATATTCATAGTCAAATTTTATATTTAAGACTGTTTTAAATACATTCTTAAGATGTCATGAACTAATCAGAGAACCGTATTAACATTTTAAGACAATACTTAAGCCAATCTTAAAATAAGAATGGACTATGAATACCATTTTCTGATTGATATTCATAGTGAGTTCTTATATTCAAGACCGTCTTAAGTTCAATCTTGAGATTGAAGAGAAGAGAAGAGAACATTTTTAAATTGTTAATATGTTAAGTTCTCTGAATCAGATGAGACTCAACGCTTGACATGTTAACAGTTTAAAAACGTTTCGATGATCATTGTACCAGGAAGTGCAATGACGTTACATCACTACACATAGCTGACTATATAATTCCAATTGTCATTAACATTTCGATTTACATGAGAGCATTGCTAAGGATTCAAATTGGATCGACACGTTTGTGATTGTAATTATTTTAAATAAGTCAAATTTCACACACTGATATCCTGTATTGACTCTAATCGGCATTATTTTATTGTATTGAAATGAATTAAAGATGTCACTATTCTCGACTTTTTTTTTGTAATTTAAAAAATCTACTATTGACATCAATCAAGTTTGGCCGTCAGTTCAGCATTTCCTTAAGCCCGTATCAGACGAAGCTGAAGCTGGCAGCCAGACTTAGCAACCAGAACGCGGCAGCTAGGAGCGAATAGGGTGCTGAGGCCCCAAAGATTAAAAATTAATAAAATTCATTAAAAAACGATTGCAAGCAAGTCACACATTTCTGGTAGAACAAAATAGGTTAATCTATCTAAAATTTATAATAATCTGCACAGTGATGGCCCTCATTAATAAAAAAATTATACAACATTAATAAACTATTTAGCAACTAGACCATCGCGTAGAAAATTGAAAAAAATCACACATACTCTTAGAGTATACATATGCGTACGGTCTGGCTGCTAAATGGTTTATAAATGTTATTTAATTTTTTAAATAAACAATAATGGCCGTCCCCGGGAAGATCGGCGTGCCATCGTTTCCTACCCGTCTTGTAGAATTTCTGTGATTTTTTTCAAGTCTCTATGCGTATGCGTACGGTCTGGCTGCTAAATAGTTTATAAATGTCATATAACTTTTTTATAAATCCGTTAATAAATCAAATTAATCAAGACTCCTTACAAATCAAAGAATTGGAAAAGGTAAGAGCACTAGGAGTTGACTCCTAGTGCCCTTACTGTTTCCAATTCTTTGATTTGTAAGGAGTCTTGATATGTTTGATTTATTAACGGATTTATTATATGCAGGCTGTAAATATGCGTCCACCCCAATATTCTTCCTTTTTTCAATTTGTTTATTCCATTTTTGGATCGGAAACAGTTATATTATTGTATTAAAGTCATGGATTAAGTTCCGTATTTGTTTAACTAAAAGTCTTTTACACGCTAGATTCTTAAGATACTGTATCGCAAACAATATTGTCCCACCTCACTTGCATTGGCTACATAGGTTTAGTTTGGAATTTTTTGGGAACAGTTCAGTTAAAAAATTTGAATATATTAGACATCAGTGTGTTGTGAATATTTTGAAATTAGAATTAAATGATACTTAGAGGAAAATGTATTCTACTCGGGTACAGCTTTTCCGATTTGCACGTGCTATTTCCCGTTGCCTTCCTATTTATATTTGTGACGCCTTTTTTGATAAACAGGGAAGATCTTCATACCTTTTCTTCTTGCGCGAAAGGAGTAGGATTGAGTCGAAGTGTTGCTGACTGTTGTCGAAACAGAGGGAAGAATTACTTAATAATAATATTAAAAATATCAGGCCTATTCGTTATTATCAGAAGACAGTGCCCGCAGTTGATGTTGATCATGGCAGGGATGGAGTATTGGAGAGTAGTGCTGGTGTTAGATTATCGTTGTACCCTAACGTGCAGAATCCAAATGAGACAGAGAAATACAGATAGATCCTCAGTCCTTTCTTCCACTGATTCCTTCTCCTTCATTTACCTCACAATGGAATGGCTGGTTCGTGAATCTGTCAACCGTTTCCATACCTCCTAATATACAGAACTTTTTGCAATTGGGACAGAACTTTGCCTTACTTTTTAACAATAATTAAATTTAACGGTCGATCTTATTACAGTGTATTGAAAGTGATATTTATAAATTGCCTATAGATAAGCGGATTTCGATCTCAAACCACTCACTTCCTGTGTTAAATAACTTAGCTTCTTATTCCCTGCATTGTACGGAAATAGATAGGAGTTTGTCACAGTTAGCGAAAGATACTAGGGTTTTTTAAGGGATATGAACGATAGTGATTTTTACTCACGCGGATAAGGGGGATGTGACGGTAACATTGGATAGACAAATGTACATTTCCAAGGTAAATGAAATGCTTCAAGATGTTAATACTTATGAAGTAGTTGTAAGGGATCCGACGAGGCGAATGGTTACGAGCTTACGCGCCTTATTAGTTAGGTGGAAGGAAAAGAAGTATATATCTGATTCCACATATAGAGGTTTGTTATGTAATGACGGGATACTTCCGATGGCCTACGCTTTTCCGAAGATACATAAGCAGGACTGTCCCTTTAGTATAATAGTTTTTTCGATAAACAGCCCTTTATATTCGTTAGCAGTGTTTCTTCATAGTATTATCATTAAAACAATTCCTAAGGCGGATAGTCATATCGATAATAGTTTTAAACTTGTTAAAGAACTTGATGGTAGGCGGTTGAGTGATGAATTTCAGTTAATGTTACTGGATGTTGTTAGCCTCTTCACTAACGTTCCCATTGACTATGCGATGGATTGTATCCAAGATCATTGGCGATTTATTTCTAGAGATTGTTGTTTACCGAAGGAGGAATTCATCAAAGCGGTTCAGTTTATTTTAGATTCTACTTTCTTTGTGTTTGATATTGTTATGTCCGACCGTTCGATTCGTGTGTCCGCGCAACCGTCTCGCGGAATTCGTTCGCGTCGCGTACCCGCTCTCCCGAGCCACCGAAATAAACAATATGAGAATAAAAAGATAATTAGGTATTTATTATACCAAGAACAGAACAGAACTCCAATGAAATATAAATAGACGAATAGTTTGCTAATATCTCTCAGAGAAGAAACATGTCCGAACGCTTCGACAGCTTCTCTCTCCATCTGTTGAAACAACACCATGCTCGTCGCCAGGCAACGCGCTCTACTTCCTTCAGGAACGGCGAACTCCGGCGTATAGCGGGTGACGACACGACACGGGCATAACAATATTATTATTTATAAACAGAATTATGGTATTCCTATGGGCTCCCCGTTGTCTCCCGTCATCGCGGATCTAGTTATGCGTAAATTGGAGAGTAGAGCTTTGTCTTTGATTCAGTTTCCGTTGGCCCTTTACTATAGGTATGTTGATGATATAATCATGGCAGCGCCTGTTTCTTCGATTATTTCCATTCTTGATGTCTTTAATTCTCAGCATCCTAGGTTTCAATTTACTATGGAGGTGGGGGTGATAGATTGAATTTTTTGGATGTTCAGTGATTAGGGATGAGTTGATAGAGTTTGATTGAACCACAAGCCTTTTGTAGATATTTGAACTTTTGGTTACAGCACGCGGTTTCTCAAAAAATAGGTACAATCGCGGGATTAGTTGATAGGGTGATTTTGCTTTCGAATCCTAAATTCCACTTTGATAATTTGTGTTTCGTGATTAAAGTTTTGTTAGAGAATGATTATCCTTTGAGTTTTATATTTGAGAATATTAACAACCGTTTGAAGAATATTATTATGGCTAGTAATAGGAAGAGGGTTGTTAATGATAATAGCGTTGATGTAGTACAGCCTTCGTGATTCGCTGTCCCTTTCGTTCGTGGTATTAATGAGAAGTTTAATAGATTGAATAGCGAGCATATGAGGGCATTTTATAGTGTTAATAAATTGCGTGAATTTATTAGGGTGCATAAGGACCCCTTACCGCGTGATAAAAAGTCGAAGGTTGTTTATAAGATTTTGTGTAAGAGCTGCGACGCGAGTTATGTGGGGCAGACGTGTAGACAACTGAAGTCAAGAATCACGG